CCAATCCTTTCCAAATTTTATTTATTATATTTATTTTTAACATGAAAAACTTAAGACACCGTACACATCAACGTGTTCTTAGGGCCTGGTCAGACTGCGGCAAAATCGAAATAATCCTAGGATTATAATCCGAATCTCCATAGTAACTTGCCGCCAGAGCGGCAAAAGCGAGAGTTGACGCTCCAAAAAAAAAGCAAGAACGGGCCACGCTTTTCCGCTCCAAACAGGATTTGACGCTGATACGCCATTGACGCTGATAATCACTGATTTTTTCATCTCGATATTGAGGTGCTAATTGGCCACGGACAACAACAAAACTCATAAGGATGGTTGCAAGGATTGCACTGAAGGTGTTGGCGATCCCCAAGGTGAAGGAATTTGACGTCGTTCGTGGAGATTACCACTTGACGCTCGAAATGAAGTTCGAATTTTCACTCTCCCCACGTGTGTAGTGTGATCGCGATTCAAATTCTGGACGCTGTTCTGTTTTCGTCAGGCAACCAAAATTTGCCGCAGTCTGACCAGGCCCTAAGGGTATGGCAGCTTGTTAAAAAGCTGTGGCGCTGGCGCTTGTATGATGCCCGCGAACCACGTATGCAAGTAATACATCAGCGGAGCAAACACAGCGACAATACAGATCGAAGTTGTCCCATGACTACAGAATAATATAACTCAGGATTGTTCTCAACAACCAGCGATACCAATTTTTCAAAAAACGAGTCCCCTCTGGCCCACACATGCCTGATGAAAAACGAGTCCCCTCTGGCCCACACATGCCTGATGTTGAAAAAACTAACGGTGCAAATGATGCTCTCTCTACAATGTTTACACGGGCACAATATTCTCTCTTTTTGGCCGCGACAGCAGGCTTGCCTTCGGGTGCGTTACCCGCACATAAAAAAGGCATTCTGCTGCCGGGTCCAGAAGCCCCGCGCCCTGATATCCAGACGCGCCTCCAAAGACCGGTTTGCAGTTCGATGTGGTAGTGTTTCTCCTTCGAACGGCTTGAGAAGAGGCTCCTTCCAAGGGCGTCGGAAGCGGTACGACTGGTACAGCTCGAGCTGTACCACTTTTGGCTCCAGGTGGTCCACGCGGAATGTCCAAATCCGGTGTAAAAAAATGGAGGTATCGAGTTTGTACATGACCACGCGTGATCGTGAGCTGCGATCCGTCACCGGTGCACCAGTCCGTCAGGTCACTGGGACTCACTGCACCGTGTAACGCGTAACTACATTGTAGACTGTCGACTACGGAACTTTGTACCTTTGGAGACCCTCTGAGAGGGGTATTTTGAGTGTTTTTTGAAAAACATTTCCCGCGGGAAGTCTCCCCCGGACCCCCTCTTAATGTCGAACCGCACCACTTTCTACCTCCTTCCGACGCCCCGCTTCTCCACATCTGGCAGCATTTCCCGAACAGCTTCCGACAGAAAGTCCCCGATCTCGTTATATCTTGCAATTGGGTAAACATCCGCCGGGCAACTCATGGCATGATCAATTGTCATGTCTTGCCCACAAATACACGAACTGGACACTCCCTCCAATGACAAACCATAATTATCGAATACAAACAAGATCACGAAAATCCGATTTGTTCAGGATTGAACCGGGCGTTACGAAAGACGGCATGGAGGATAACCAATTTGAAACACCCTTCTCACCAGCCGTTTCCAACAAAAGCTGTTGCTCCGGCGGTAGCATTGGGCGTAATCACTCTCTCGTACCACTCTTTCTTCCTGTTTCTTTTACCGCTGCTGACGTGACTGACGGGCGAGCTGTTGAACAGCCCCGACGACATCAAGCATACCATCGGTGCCCGAGCCTCCGGCTGCGTCATCCAGGTTAGTGATCCCCGGCTGTGGCGCAGGATGTAGGCGGAAATCATCGGGTAGAGATGACGATAAAATCAACCCCGGAGAATGGCCCCGAACGTTGTGAGGCTGTGTGGAGGACTGGTATGGAGCAGCAGGCGCCTCTTCTGGAGGCGGTACAATCAGGCGCACGAACGGCTCTGTGATCTTTGTTGAGTCCGCATACTCCAAAGGTGCCGAGGAAGGTAGAATCGGCACAGCAAGACCACCACATATCGTGGGCAGAGACATAAGCTCCCGCTGTGAGCTTCTAGTATTGGGGTCAAACTCATGGCCCAGGAGAGCTGGCAAAAGCTCCGAATCGATGATCTGGCCAGGTACCTGAAGAACCTCAGGGCTGTGCTGTGTGGCACGGAGATGGTATTGCCACCGGCCAGCCAGACCATTGGTTACTAACACCACGTATGCCGCGTGTGGCTGGGTCCCCGCCAGTCCAGCCAGAGATTTGAGTTCCTGTGCCCAGTAACGTGACTTTGCCGATGTACATTCTTCCGTGTACCTGCAATAGCTCTGCAGATTAGTCGCATATGTACCTCACTGATCGCGATTGGGCGCACACCTGGTTGTTGATCTAGTGGAATCAGGCGAGCTGATGTAAGTCCCAACATTGATTCCGGCTCCACGGTCACCGTGCACAGACATTGTGCGGCAGCAGCCATCGCAGAGCAGAGAGTATCTGAAGCCTTCTTAAAACACGTCAGCATTCTACACCATGACTCAGAATCGGGGCCGGATGGGCCGACGATCCATGCGTCCGCCGGCTTAATTTACGAATCAGTTCCGGTGTGATTCTCTGGAACAAGATGTTGTTGGCTTCGGCCGTCTCACCAGGAAGGAGGACATCTTCGGACGGCTGAGTCGCGATGTGGTGCTTCTCCAGCAATACAATGGCGCTAGCTCTTCACCTCAGCGTGTTTTCCAGCGATGTCGAATGTAGCTAATCCAGCTTGACGCAACGCACGACTCAGCCCTTGCCCGAAGGATTCGACCAGACCTGGACCAGGAGACTTCATCCTATGGCAGGACACTACCAACTCAGCCAACCTGAAGATATAACAGCTGCTCTAGTCAGCTCCAGACCAAACAGCAATCAAGCAGATCAGCAGCCAAGCAATCTTATTCCTCCAAGCAAGCCTCTTACTCCAACCCGAGCAATCAAAAGTCCAACCGATCCCCGCAAGCGCATCCGAATGATCATCATGATCAGCATCATCATTCGCAGATTTGCGTTGCTGTGACAACAGGGTCATGTCATACTGTCGAGACCATTAACAGCTACTAAGGCGGAACTCTTGAACTCTGCAGTCCCTATTCTTTTACACAAAAAAGGTACCAAATCCTGATAGTGACCTCTAACCCAGTTGAGCACATATACTCAACACAATCATGTCTCGACCAAACTAGTAACCTTAGCTGCAGTGAAGTCAACTCAACTAACATTAGTCACAATGAATAGAAGTAATAATTATGTAAAAAGAAAAGGACCTATAAGTTACTACTAGTTATGACTAACAGTCCACCAAGGTACCGATATGATAATATACAGTCCGATAGTGCGACAACAAGCCACAAAACTGACAAGGATAGTGAGACATTCGACGACCTGACACCTAGCCCCAACACATCTACGAAGCGCAAACCAACAACCTTCCAACTTGAAAGGCTCAGGTGCGGAAAGTTCCAATGAGGAGAAGGGATGCGCCACGAAATTGTGCATGAGCTATGTCCCTCAGCAACCATGAATGTCGAGGCTTGTGTCGTCTATCTCCTCACTATTGCTGTCCTGGTACGGATCAAGTCGATTGATGGATCTTAGCCTTCTCCTTCTGCTGCTTGCCGCGGCGATGTCGCTCCGAAGCATTGTGACGTTAAGCTTTTTTGGCATCACTACAAGGTGGCACACTTCACAAAACAACTCTCCAGTAGAGATGGTCAGACACTATTTAGGGAACTCCGTAACTCTAGCGGCAGGGCTGATATGCTAAACCTTCGTATAACGTTTTTGTCCTTGAGTCACTCTTGTAGTAGTTTGCATTGGCTCTGAGGTCCGCTCAAATAATCCTGTGCGCGATATTCAAGCTCCTAACCATTTTGTCTGGTTCAGTTTCATCCAAATGGCCTGGCTTTGACATATTTTCAACCATTTCATATGACTCGTCACCCTCAGAACCTCCGCCACCATCATCCATACCTGACCGCTCCTGCTAAATCATGGCCATTAGAACTGAAGTGGAAGGAAGATCGACTAAAGTGAATATATTTTTCTTTCGAAATGAATAACATAACCAAAGGTGATGAAGTACAGGTTTACTAGGAGTGAAATCTAGAAGATTGTGTAGTAGCAACTGCGTCGGGAATTGACTACCCAAACCACGTGACTTGCAACTGTACATGTAGCATTTTGACCGTCGCAACAACACATGATTGTGGCGAGATATTCTCCTCAACTACTAGCTCTTACTGTAGTGGATAAACATGCTCTGTTCACTAGCTAGCAGCAGTGCTTCTGCATACAGCTAGCTGACAATACGTACAGTGTACAGTGTAGATGACGTAGTGCTGCAGAATCTGATGTTAGTCACACACTCGCCATAAGTCGCACATTTTCTGTTCTAGGACAGACACGGTCGGTGCGTGACTTATGGCGAGTAGACTGTACCTACATGTACATGTACTTGGAGAGAGAAATAGTTATGAAAATGTATATAAAATTATTTAAATTAATGTAGTTGCGAGGCATGCGTAAATATCCACTTTGTGTAGTACCTATTACCACTCTCGATATGGGGACGGTCCCTGCCAAATCTGGATGGTTAGCAGGTATGGTGTTCATGATGATCATCATACATGTGTCAGTGTGTACCTCTTTGAAGTGGAAAACACTGACTACCTACACAACATACATGTGTCAGTGTGTACCTCTTTGAAGTGGAAAACACTGACTACCTACACAACATGCACATGGACATCTTCCAATCAGGTCACAAGTGACCCGGTGTTCTTTTTTCAAACGGGTCCAAGTACACCTCCCCCCCCCCTACCAAACGGGTCCTTCGCCCGGCTGATTCGGCCCTGGAGCAACACTGGAGTCAGTGACTATGAACAATGCAAGCCTATAATTACACGGATATGATTTCCATCACATTAATTTCTCAAATAAGCACGCAAAGTGGAGAAGTGACAAACGTCATGACCTGTTCTGGCAAAAAAATGAGGAAAGGAGATGAAGTTCAGCTGCCAAGTTCAATACTGGGTCAATTCAAGTGTCAGCAGAAGCAAAAATGTGAACAAAGTCAAGTGAAAAATGAAAAGAATACTGTGCAATTGTCACAGCAAATAGAGAGGTGCCTTAGAGCAAGCCATAATGAATTTTAAAGACTAGGGACATTTATGTAGAGATGTAGCCACAAAAAATAAGAACAAAGGAAAGATGCTCTATAGCAAACCAAATTGAATTTTAGGAACATTTTTGTATACATGTACATTATACTTTGTATTAGCAAACATACCAGCAGTCTTGGCAAGCACAGCAAACAATATAACAAAATATGTATGCGCGCACGTGCTCGCGTTTGGGATTGGGAGAGAGGTGGGGGAAATATTCAAAAAAACACAGTCGATGGAAACATACCATCAGTCTTGGCAAGCACAGCAAACAATAGAACAAAATTAATTATGTATGCACGCACAAGCAAAAATGTGAACAAAATCAAGTGAAAAATGAAAAGAATACTGTGCAATTGTCACAGCAAATAGAGGTGCCTTAGAGCAAGTCATAATAAATTTTATTAAAGACTAGGGACATATATATGTAGAGATGTAGCTGCAAAATAAGAACAAAAGAAAGATGCTCTTGAGTAAGCCAAATTGAATTTTCAAGAGTAGGAACATTTATGTATACATGTACATGTACATGTATTAGCAAAATAACACAGTCCATGGAAACATACCAGCAGTCTTGGCAAGCACAGCAAACAATAGAACAAAGTATGTATGTGCGCACATGCTCGCGTGTGCGCGTGTGAAATTGGGAGAGAGGAGGGAAGATGGGGGGGGGGGGGGGAGGTGGTGGAGCTGCTCTTTGAGAAAATATTCTCAAGGACGGCCACCTTGAAAAGAATAAACATGGAGCATATCCACAACTGGTGAGCAATCAACTCAAGAATACAATATGATACATGTGTAGATGAGGAAAAAGAACACGTTGGATAGGGCAGAGCAGTGGCAGGGGAAGAACGACACAAACAAGTATACCGGGATACCGGCAACGAGTTATGTCCACTGTGTGAGTATGACTGTTGTGATGTACATGGAGTGCTGGGAGACAGCAGTCTTGCACAATCTGAACAGTGATGTACATGGAGTGCTGGGAGAAAGCAGTCTTGCACAATCTGAACAGTGATGTACATGGAGTGCTGGGAGAAAGCAGTCTTGCACAATCTGAACAGTGATGTACATGGAGTGCTGGGAGAAAGCAGTCTTGCACAATCTGAACAGTGATGTACATGGAGTGCTGGGAGAGAGCAGTCTTGCACAATCTGAACAGTGATGTACATGGAGTGCTGGGAGACAGCAGTCTTGCACAATCTGAACAGTGATGTACATGGAGTGCTGGGAGAAAGCAGTCTTGCACAATCTGAACAGTGATGTACATGGAGTGCTGGGAGAAAGCAGTCTTGCACAATCTGAACAGTGATGTACATGGAGTGCTGGGAGAAAGCAGTCTTGCACAATCTGAACAGTGATGTACATGGAGTGCTGGGAGAAAGCAGTCTTGCACAATCTGAACAGTGATGTAACAGACATTATGCATGAACATGTGCATATACATGCATACACACACACACGCACACCAACAGATGCAAAACAAACACACACAAACATGTTGTAAAACAGACACAAGAACATACAAAAACATACCCACACATAAACGCACAGGCTCCCACATTTGAGCGCCCGGACACCCACACACCCACGCCCTCCCCCCCCCCCCCCCACACACACAGCCACAAACACAAACACACATACACACACCATTTTGTTGACCACTTGACGCCCACCACCGGAGGCGATGAAAGCGATGCTACAGCAGAAACAATAGCAACTTGCGCTCCAGCTAGTCATTGGACGTTTTGGTAGAACGTAATGCAGTGTGGAGGTCAGCAATCCCTTGCCAAGTTGGCAAGGAAAGATATGATCAGGTGGAGATAGACATGCTGTAAAGTACGAGAGAGCTTGGAAGCTCAGGGCCCTACGCTATGCTTTTTTGCCTTGATGACCTAGACAAAAAAAAGCATAGGGATGTTATAAATTATTTAAAAAATCCTTTTTTTAAAGACATAACCTGGGATTCGAACCCGCACTATCGCGCGCCCTGCATGCATCCCCCGATACACTTCGCATACATACTAATTCTTCCAAGTTGTTTCACATTGTGATCTTGCATTTGAAAGCCCTATTTGAATATGCATTGTGGCCAGCCGTCTTTGATGGCACGGTACGGTAGGGGATAGGTACGGGACAGGTACGATAGAGGGTAATACGACACCGTCTCCTGTACCGTACCGTACCATCAAACACAGCTGTCACATACAGCTGCCCGCAATATTCAAATAGGGCTTTCAAACGCA